AAATCAGGACGCACCCGGGGAGAGGCAAGGGAAGGGCCTCCGAGGGCTGGTCGAGACACCGGGCGACCCTCCCTGGCGTTCTTTGTTATCTCTCGGCGCCTCCTGGGGGCGTCTCGTCGTCACGGCTGGATGCACGTCGAAAAAGTTGTCTTTGATGGACCCCCAGAGAGGTCCAGGGAGCGATTGCGAGCGGATTCGGATGGGGCGGGACCTGCCCTCATGGTGAGCACTACCCGAGGCCCCAGGGGAGGAACTCGCGCGGCGTCCCCACGCCCATCTCGGTGCACTCCTCACGAGGTCCGTTCCCCATGCGAAGCTCCACCTACGGCTTGCGAGCTCCACCTAAGTCCTCGGGTGAGGAAATCGCATGGCCTCCCCGCGCCCACTTCGGCACGCCTCTCCGCAAGGAGCCCCACCCTGCAGCACCCCCCGCGGTGCAAGACGCAGGACGATTCCGAAGGAGCTCCACCCATGTCTCCAGTTGGTGCTTGCGCACGGCGCCCCCGCGCCCCTTTCGGCACACCCCTCATGTGGATCGAGCGCCACGGGGGCCCGTGCAGCTGCACTGGGTCGGTTCTCTCGCCAGGCGACTTTGTCCTCTCTGGGGACGACGACGACGTGGACGACGACGAGGACGACAACGACGACGACGACGACGACGACCTCCATAATCCTCCGGGAGGTCTCCAGAGATCTCCTAAGACCTGCCGAGGCCTCCGGAGCCAGGTGTTGTCGTCGTCGCCGTTGCGGTCGTCTTCTCGTCTTTTCGTCTTCGCCCTCGTCGGTTTTTTTCGTCGTCGTCTTTGCGCCTCCCATTTTTACCTTCGTCGGCGTATTCCGTTCCCTTCTCTTCTTCCATCCGTTTTCCTCCCCCTCCCTCGACTGCACTGCCTCCATCCTCCTCCTTGGCCCCTCCCTCTCTCTTCTTTGTCTTTTCTCCCTTCTCGCTTTCTGTCGTCGGCTTCGTATTGGAGGCTGGCGTCGTCCCCTTCTTCTTCCTCTCTGTCCGTCCGCCCTCCTCCCTCTTCTTTTCCCCCTCCTTCTCCTCGTCATCGTTCTCTTTCTGTTCCTCCTCCTCCTCCTTCGCCTCACCAGGCGTGGCTCGAACCCGCGTGTCGCCATCGCCGCGCGCCGACGCCGCCTGTGATACACGAGCGGTCGTGGGGCAGCGAGAAGGTCCGCCGCCACCACGGCCGTGGCTTGATGGGGAGCCTCCGAGGAGGCTGCAGAAGCTATCGTTAGGTCCGGCCTGTCCCTCTACAGGAGGAATCTTCCGAAATCGTAAAAAAATAGTCTGGGGACGATTTGTTGACCATCTTTGAGTGCTTTTTATCGTATTCTTGATTTTTCGTGCAACATTCGCCTGTAGGGGGACAAGCCCGACCTAGGGGAAGGTCCGCCGCCACCATGGCCTGGGGCTTGATGGGGAGCCTCTGAGGAGGCTGCAGAAGCTGTCGCAGTGCGACGCGTCCGGCGGCGCAGAGGCCATGGTGAGAGGCGGCCGCGGAGGCAGTCGGCACGCTGGTTGGCGAGACCGTGCCCAATGGAGCAAAGGCAAGAGCGCCCGACGGAGGCAACCGGGCCAGGAGGAGGAGGAGGAGGAGGAGGAGGAGGAGGAGGAGGAGGAGGAGGAGGAGGAGGAGGAGGAGGAGGAAGCGGCAGAGCAGCCGAAGCCGGGACAGCAGGTACTCGATCTGCCCAGAGCGCCCCGCCTGCAGCAGCTGGGCGTGCATCAGGCGCGCGGGCACGCCAAGCGCTGGGAGGCCCGTGAGGCCTGCGGCTGCACCTGGCCCAAGGGCGAGGAGACCAGCAACCGGGCCGAGCAGAGGGCTCTGCAGACACTGGGACTCACAGGGAGCAGCTTGCTCGCGCTCCAGGCTGTGGCCACCGTGGCCAAGGGCTCCCAGGACAGAGCCGCAGAGGAAGCGGCGGAGAGCCTGGCCAAACTCTCCGCCCTGGCACCTGCGCAGCCTGTCCAAGAGGCCCCCCAGAGGAGCTCCAAACGGCACAAGTCTTAAATCGTGCCTGTCCCTCTACAGGAGGAATATTCAAAAATAGTCAAGGAATAGTCTGGAGACAATTTTTATATCATTTGAGAATATGTATCACATTTTTCTATTATTTTGATTTTTTGTATAAAATTCGCCTGCAGGGGGACACGCCCGACCTAGCACAAGTCGTCCCCTTCCCGGAGGAAAGCGTGCATTAGTTTAGCATATTCGTTTCTTCGGGCTTCACATCTCAAGCGGGGAGTCGGATTCGAGGCGGCAGCGCTGCGGTAGAAGCATGCCCAGCAGCAGCAAGAGAAGATCGCCAAGCAGCTGATTCGGGCGGAGCAGGAACTGCTCGAGAAGCTGGACAGAGTGGCCAGCCTAAGTGCACTGCACTTGCGGAGTCACGGCAACACTCACCATCAATTCTATTGTCTATCATTTATTTACTTATCGTTACGGCCGTCGTTATCCATCTAAGTTGAGTGTCGTCACACCTGGCGGGCGCCAACTCTTACCAATCTTCCTGCCCAGCGCTCATGCTCGTTCATTTTTCGCGGCGCCCGTCAGGTGCCCTTTTCCTTGGCCCGAGCCGTTTTTTTGTTTTTGTTCTTTTTGTCGCCAGTCACCACATACGCTGGAGGCCAGGCAGGAGCTGGACCGACTACAGCAAGAGGTACGGCAAAAAGGAACGGTACTCGGGCAGTGCCGAGCTCAGGGCGGACCACAGGCGCACAGCGATGACATGTGGGAGGACTTCCCAGACCTGTGTGCTGAGGACCTGGGAGCTCTTCGACAGGCCCAGGAGTAGAACAGCAAAACGGCCAAGTACAAGCAAGCAGCGGGGCTGGCGGCCCAGGCGAAGACGATGCAAGGGGCGTGCGAGAACCAGGGCAGCTCGGACAAACGCCGACGGGGAGACGAAGAAGGACGAGAGGCCCTGCCAGCTGACATGCAGGCAGCCACATGTGGCACCATGGACGCATCGGAGACCAACCCGAGCGTAGCGACGCCAGTCGACACGCAGAGGATGTGCTTAGCGACGTTATGCTTGGTGTAATACTGTAGCGGTGGCAGCAGCCCTACCATCACTGGTGGTGGTATTTGCATGGGCATAGTAGTACAGGAGGCAATCGTACGACCGTAGCCTGTCACGGACAACAGCTCCACGGGCTGCGACTTCGCCAACCCACAAGCGATGGCCAAGTACGTCGACAGGGCGGCAGCCATCAAAGCCCGCCAGAAGGCGGCCAGCCCGCAGAGGATTGCTGCGCCTGGGAACGCGGGTGCTGCTGGCGATGGCATGCTGCAGCCCTAGCAGGCAATGGGCCAGCGCCAGGAGTTGATGGGCAGCCGTAGCCTTCTTGGCAACCACATCACAGCAGTCAGGTTCGAGGAGGAGGCCGAGAGCCCGTGGCGAACCAGCGGTGGCAATGCTGGAGCACGGCCAGTGCCAGGCGGAGCACCCACCCCGCGGACCAGCTTGGTGGCATCGCGCCCTAAAATCCCAGCGGCCACCAGGCTTTGGGAGCCTCGCTGGCCTACGGGAAGGGTGGGCTCCACCACCAGCTGGCACCCGGCTGAGGCCACGCACCAGGTTAGCGAGACGGCAGCCGAAACAGAGGTAACGCCGCCAAGGGACGCGTCCTTGACCTGTTCGGTGGGGTGCGACCAGGGGCACCCGCCTCCCAAGCACGCTTCCAAGGAACGCGTCCTGGACCCAGCAAGCACCGTCTGAAGTGATCAGAGGGATGCCTTACCCCCGCCAGCACGCAGCAACATGGGCCAGGAGGCACCTCGCCGACTTCGACAACAAGGCGGAGGGAGCGACGGGCGGTGCACCTTCCCCACGGACTGGCCTGGTGGCACCACGCCTATATTCCCAGCGACCCCTGGGCGTTGAGAACCTCGCTAGCTTACGGGGCGGGGAGGGCTCCACCGCCTGGAACTCCGCAGTGCTACAGAGGTCACGGCCAACCGGGAAGAGCATCAGAGTGTCAGCCGCAGGCAGTTGGCCACCGCTGACCAGGTGCAACGCACTCCTAGTTTTGTTCGGCAGCTGCAGCCAATGCAATGAGGCAGCCAAGGCGTTTGTCGAAGGGGCCAGCAATGACCTCATAGGCTTGGCCGAGCACCACCTCAGGCAGCCCCAGTGCGACGCCGAGGAGCAGCACCCCAGAACATATGGATGGAGATCTCTGCGCCCGCGGTCACTGGCTACGTGCACAGCTTGCAGACAGCCAGCGCAAGACAGACAAGCACGAGCAATAAAGGGTTCCCACAGGGACACGTTTTGGCTATGACGGAACGGTTTGAAATTGTTCATGCACCTGCCCTCCAAGATTGGGAGGCGGGTATTCCACGACCAGCTGGACGACGCGACCAGGGCCATACTAAGGCTCAAGCGTGGTGCCGTGCGCCCGCGTGCCAGCTGGCCTCCAGTGCAGAAGGCATCGCATTACCACGTTTTGCTGAAATGGTACGCCGGAGGGCCTGCCGCTACCTCTCCCTCCCTCCCTCCTTCCGCCTACCAGGCACCGGCTTGATTCGGGTGCCGTCAGCGCTGGACGTCGGATAGGAGAGTCGTGCAGATTCAGACGGGAGCAGCGGGTGGTGCTCGATGCTGAGCTGTGCTCAGTTCTTTCCGGTGGTTCCGAGATGCCCTTGGCCCGTGCACTGCAGCCCCTGCAACCCCTTCCGCCTCCTCCGCCTCCTCCTCCTCCTCCTCCTCCTCCTCCTCCTCCTCCTCCTCCCCCTCCTCCTCCTCCTCCTCCTCCTCCTCCTCCTCCTCCTCCTCCTCCTCCTCCTCCTCCTCCTCCTCTCCTCCTGTCGCCCCTCTCCTCCCTGCCTCCTCTCTCCTCCCTCCGCCTGCTCCCCTTCTTCTTTTTCCTCCTCTTCTTCTTCTTCTTCTTCTTCTTTGTCTTTCTCTTCTTCTTCTTCTTCCTCTTCTTCTTCTTCTTCTTCCCTCCTGGCCTCCCTCTTCCCGCCCCCCTCCCCGGCCCAGTGCAGGAGCACGGCAGCCCAGTGACCGGCGAGAGGGACCCAGAGGCGTGGTCACCGTCGGCCCAGGACCAGCTCCTCCCAGGGGCAGGCGGCCGCGAAGCGTCGAGGAGGGCGACCGACGAGGGGCGGCAATCGATGGGGAGAAGCACACTTCGGCCACGCGCAGAGGGGGGGTAGGGCTAAGTCGGGCGTGGCCCCCTACAGGAGGAGTATCCAGAAATAGTCGGAAAACAATCGTCTGTGGACGATGTTTCGGGACCCTGTTTGGGGTTTTTGTTGTGAATGCTTCTGGGGTGTACTTTATTTCTCGTCCGAAATCCGCCTGTAGGAGGACGTGCCCAACCTAAGGATAAGGGGGAGGGGGGAGGGCTTCTTGGAAGCACCCTGCTTCTCAGAAGGCGCGGGCATTGTCTGTTGATGCAGGGCCGGCGCCTTCGAAGAAGCATCCTCTTTCCAAGAGGCCTGTCCTCCTCCCCCTGCCGTCTTGTGTGCGCCGCCCAGTCGAGGAGGATGACCGAGGAAGGGTGACAGTCGAGGGAAGGAGCACGCTGACCATGACCAAGACGTCGCGGGATCTTGTCGTCGCCGATCTTTGTCATGGCACGTGCCGACCATGGCCGATTCGCGAGGAGGCTCCAGGGGTTGATGCTGACCAAGGTGGACGGCGACCACGATCGACTGCAAGTTTCCGCGTTCAATCTTGTTCATGCCATGGAGGGGCAAGCAGGTCGGCGTCGAGGAGGATGAAGGAGGATGATCGAGGAACTCCGAGGAGGAAAAGATGCTGACACCGCTACCGTTTGTTGCTTCCGCCTGTGTGGGCCTCCTGAGAGGCCCTCGTCGCCGTGGCTGGGTCCGCTTCGAACTCCTGGCCCGAGCGCACCCTGGGAGAGGCCTGCGGAGCAGCGGTGCTGGTGCTCTTGTGGACGACGATCAATGGAGAGGAAGCGCGTTGCCAAATAATTCCCAGATGTCTGAAACATGTTTTAATAAACATGTCTTAAGCACGTTAAGCTCCTGTTTTAAACATGTGCTAGAACACTCCCAAGCACGTGAAACACATTTTCGATTCAACGATAGGACTGTTAGGGTGTCCATTGTCATGGCATCCACAACGATACTCTCTCTCTCTGGTTTCCTCGGAGATCCTGGGAGGGGAGAGCAGGAGGGCACATAGCCAGGAGGAGGGGGGGGCGAGGAAGGGCAGGACGACGAGGACGAGGACGAGGAGGAGGAGGATAAGGGGGGAGGAGGAGGAGGAGGAGGAGGAGGAGGAGGAGGAGGAGAGGAGGGAGGAGGAGGAGAGGAGGAGGAGGAGGAGGAGGAGAGGAGGAGGAGGAGGAGGAGAGGGAGGAGGACGAGGTTGCACCCTCGGCGGCCCCCCCGGCGGGGACGCCGGACGTCGACAGCAGCCCGCCCTACCAGGGCGAGAACAGCGAGTCGCCTCGTGTCGGCTTTTTCTCGAGCGCGCTGCGCCCGCCGTTGCGGCGGGCTCTCGCGCACGCCGGGTCCGGTGCGTGCTCCTTCGCTGGGGTGCGGTCGGCCGTGTCCCCCTGCGGCAGGTTTGCGTCGTGTCGACCAGCGGCGACCCCAGCGCGGGCGTTCAAGGTTGAACGCCCTCGGCGACCCAGAATCGATCGATGTTGAACGATCGGACGTTGCGGCAGCGGCCGATCGTTCAAGGTTGAACGATCCCTGCGGTGTCAAAAACCAACGCTGGGGTCGGCACGACACGAACCTGCCGTACCGGGGGACGATTTCATGAAGTATGTTTGAATCTTTGTTGGACTATGTTGTCATGATTTCTGTTTTTTTCGCCCAGGCTCTGTCTGTAGGGGGGCGTGCCCGACCTGACGCTAAGGGTTCCCCCCCCGGGCCCCGCCCCCTCCGAGGAAGGCAGGGGGCGCGGGCCTTCCCGAGTCCCCCGTACCCGAGTCTTAGTATTTTTCAATATTGTTTTGGTATTGTTCATTTGTTTCGCCCACGCTCTGTCTGTAGGGGGATGTGCCCGACCTAACGCGAAGGGTTCGCCCCCCCAGCCCCCCCCCCCTCTCCGAGGAAGGCAGCGGGCGCAGGCCTTCCTCAGAAAAGGCGGCGGGGCTTTTCCGAATCCCTCTGGCCTCTTCTGACAGACCCTCGGTGGCGGCGTGGACGCCGGGTGTGCCGCGTGCTGTGTGTACTCCGCACGGCCCCCACCAGGATCGGGGAAACGTAAGACTCGAGTGAGCCGGAACTCGGGTTTGCCAGCATTTTTTGACGAGCGCGTCATGGATTTCGGCGGCCCAGTTTTCGTGGGACGTCTGCAGCGGGAGGTCGCGTCAAATTTCAGAGTGGGTCTCGTCATTTTTATGGTGGCCCCGTCAGGCCAACACAAGTCCCCCGTACCTGAGTCTTACGTTTAAGTCGGGCTTGTCCTCTACAAGAGGAATTTTCAAAGCTAGCAACGATATTGCCTAGAGTTTTTTGTAACATGTATGTTTTCAATAGTTTTTGGTATTGAGCATTTTTCGCCCAAGATCCGTCTGTAGGGGGACGTTCCCGACCTAACGCTAAGGGTTCGCCCCCCCCCCCCCCCCTCCGAGGAAGGCAGGGGGCGCAGGCCTTCCTCAGAAAAGGCGGCGGGGCTTTTTCGCATCCCTCCACCCTTCTGACGGGCCCTCGATGGCGTCCTCCTCCTTCTCCTCCTCCTCCTCCTCCCTCCTCCCCCCTCCTGCCTCCTCTCTCCTGCCTCCTCCCTCTTCCTCCTCCTTCAACTCCTCCTCCTCCTCATTCTCCTCCTCTCCCTCCTCCTCCTCCTCCTTCTCCTCCACCTCCTCCTCCTCCTCCTCCTTCTCCTCCTCCTCCTCTCCTGCTCCTCCTCCTTCTCCTTCTCCTCCTCCCCCCCCCCCTCCTCCTCCTTCTTTTCCTCCTCCCTCCTCCTCCTCCTCCTCCTCCTCCTCCTCCTCCTCCTCCTCCTCCTCCTCCTCCTCCTCCTCCTCCTCCTCCTCCTCCTCCTCCTCCTCCTCCTCCTCCTTTCCTCCTCCTCCTCCTCCTCCTCCTGCTGCCTCCTCCTCCTGCCTCCTCCTCCCTCCTCCTCCTCCTCCTCCTCCTCCTCCTCCTCCACATTTCCTCCTCCTCTCCCTTTTCCTCCTCCTCCTCCTCCTCCTCCTATTCCTCCTCCCTCCTCCTCCTCCTCCTCCTCCTCCTCCTCTCCTCCTCCTCCTCCTCCTCCTCCTGCTCCTCCTCCTCCTCCTCCTCTCTCCTCCTCCTCCTCCTCCTCCTCCTCCTCCTCCTCCTCCTCCTCCTCCTCCTCCTCCCCCACCAGGAGCCTGAGGCCGCCGCACCGCTCAAGAAGTCCTTGGAGCGGTCTGAGTGCGCGGCCTTGCCCGCTCCCCCTCCGCCGGCGCCCTCGTCCGTCTCCCGCCCAGTTGCGGCGGCGGCGAAAGCGGCGATGGGCCTCCCAGTGGCAGCGGGCTGTGCGCTGGCGGCGGCCGCTGCAGCCACGTCGCTGCCAGGCCCCAGCGGTGGCCCAGACGGGGCGAGGCCTTCCCCTGCGGCTGTGCGGCGCTCGCGCAGCCCCCAGCGGCGGCAGGTAGGCAAGACGCCGCAGGGCGAGATCGCCGTGCCCAGCATCCACCTCGGCCACAGCATGCGCGAGGCGGGGCAGTACGCCTTCTGCTGCAGATGCGGGGCCTTCGCCAAGCTACAGGGGGCAGTCCGCGCCAAGGGCCTGAAGCAGAGCTGCGGCGGCCGCCTCCCGCAGGGCGCGCTGGCCACGGCGGGGCAGAAGAAGAAACGCCTGTACCTGAGCCGTTTGTTCGGCAGGTGTGACCCCTACACGGGGAAGCCGCTCGGCTGACGTCGTCGGCGGTTCCCTCCACGCGGCCGTGGGCCGCTGCGGTACGCCTGGCGTGCCGCTCTGGCTGCGTGCGGGCGGGCCTGCCTGCCTGCCGCCGCTGGGCGCTTTGGGCCGTGCGCCTGGCCCCTGTGGCGTCGCCAGCGGGGGGCGTGCGCGGTCCCGACGGCCGACGGCCATGCGGCGGGCGGGTGCTCGCCGTCCTGGGGCGCGGGCTGGCGGCGTGAGGCTGCCGCGCCCCCGCGGACCGAACGCTGCGCCCCAGCGGCGGGGCCTCGTCCCCCCCGTTGCGGCGCCGAGGGTGGTGCGAGAGAGATAGAGAGAGAGAGAGAGAGAGAGAGAGAGAGAGTGAGAGAGAGAGAGAGAGATCGGACAATCTGGGCGGAGTCCCGTCCATGGGCCGGCGGGCAAGCGCGCCGCACCCGAAACACTTTGGCCAGTGCTGTCGGCTAAACGGCCCTGCGCGCCCGTCTGTGGCGGACGGCCTGGGGAGGACGGAGAGGAAGGAGCGAGGAGGACCCCCCCCCGCAAGTTGTGTATCGTGACATTGCCTCGCAGCCGTCCGGGTCTCACCTGCAAGGTTAAGCGAAGCTTACGGCCTTCAGGACCCGCAGTGGCGGGAGGCAGCCGTGGACGCTTGCAAGGCGGTGCACGGGCCTCGTGGAGGTATTTAGTTGCGGGCGCCCCTAGAGAGGTGGAGGTGGTCCGAGGTGGACTGGACGCTCTCGAGTGCTCGTGCGAACTGCGTCACTTCGATGGTGTCGGCAGGTTGGGCCCTGTAGGGGCAGGGCGCTGCCTGAGGCAGGCCTTCCCGCCAGCGAAGGGCGGCCTGATGCGGCGGCTGCTGTTGACTGTCGTAATGCCGGGGCTCACCGGCAGGGCGCTGCGGTTAGGGGAAAGCTGAGCCGTCTCCGACACCCCGTGGAACGCTGAGCGGGGCCTCTGTGGGAGCTGGTGGGGTTTCCAAGGGCGGTGCCAGGATCGTCGAATATAGTATGCTCTTGGCCGCTCGCTGCAGTGGCGGTGGGGCAGAGCGCCTGGGGCCCGGGGTCTTCGTGAGGAGGCTGCGTCGGTGCCTCTTCGCGGAAAGGGGGCCTGGCGGAAGAGTGCCGTGCCTGAGGTAGGCCGTTCCGCCGCGAGGAGTCGCGTTGCGTGGTCCCGCGCCGCTTGGGCCACTGGGCGCGAGGCGAAGGTGACCAGAGTGGAGGTCCGAAGGCCCACCGCGGCCGAC